TTCAGACTGTTTGTTAGTGCGACCCCTATCAGTGAGACTTCGTGATCTCATTTGAGAAAGTCGTAGATACTTTAGATGTATACACACTGCTATACGGAAAGGCTGGAATGCTAATTTGAAACGTCGATTACCTATCTGTTTTTCAAAGTGGGATGAGCTATCTACTACTCCTGGTGGTATTCTGTGTCTAAACGATCGTGTTGTCATTCCTCCTTCATTGCGTAAATCTGTTCTTGAAGATCATCATAGTGATCATTTGGGTGTTGAAAAAGTGAATTCCTTGGCAAGGCTCACATGTTTTTGGACAGAGATAAATGCGGATATATGTCGTACAGCAAACAATTGTGAGAAATATTATCGGTTGAAAAGTCATATGTTGAGGTGGATTCCATGACTAGTATCGTCTGAGATTTGGCAGAGAATTCATGCTGACTATTGTAGTCCGTTTCTTAGTAAATACTATGCACTAGTAGTTATTGATTCTTTTTCAAAGTAGCCTGACGTTTTTTTCACAACTTCACCAAGTTCTGATTTCACAATCCAAGCATTAAGAAAGGTGTTTAGTCGAGAAGGGGTTCCCATGGTGTTAGTGACAGATAATGGCTCTCATTTTGCTGCAGATGCAGTCACTATCTGGTTGAATGGTGTAGGGTGCAAACATCTGTTTACTGCTCCCAGACATCCTTGTTCTAATGGTCAGGCAGAGAATTTTGTAAGAACTGCTATTGATTCTATAGCCGCCTCAACATTTAATGAGCTGGAGAGGGGAGTAGATACCTTTCTGTTGCAATATAGAAATACCAGACAATCGGTGACGAAAGAGACTCCATCAAAGCTATTTAAAGGAAGAATTCTTCGGTAGAATATGAGATGTTGAGAGTCTGCAGACGTTACATATTATCGAGGAAACGATCTTCGACCATCCACGGGTATTGTTCTGAATAATGTAGGAAAATCGATAGTGCGAATTCTAGACATCAATTACTTAAGTACACATAATCGACATGTTGATCAAATACAATTTCAGGAAGTAGGTGAGTCAGTTTCAATTTCGGTTGTTAATTCTAATGCTAATGAGTACATTCTAAATAATACAGAATCCTTATCCAATACAATGTCGAACAGATTCAGGATGAATTTGAGAAGAAGACGTATGATTGATTACAATCACCTAGACTTCAATTTAAGCTGTGGTGGATGTGGTGTTTGAACGAACTAATGATACCTTTGTACTTGTTGAATACTTGATTTCCAATTCTAAATACAACAATTTCGTTCGTGCTTGTGTCGTACTTCTTGATTCAATTGAGTTATTTTGGGAATTCTTAATTCATACTATAATTGAAATAATTCGAACATTATAGTAGCTCACACTACAGCGTTACATTTTATTTGTATTTACTACAATTAAGTTAAACTCATTAGTATTTATTGAAAATATTAGTGTCCACTGCCTTCCCAACCATAAATACGGATACTACTTTGTATATTATCTGTGCTCTATACTATTTCCTATTTGCATTGTCTATTCTGCAATCGACAAAGATTTCGCTTAGGTTGGAAATGATTAGTGGCAACTAAGTAAAGATTCCTAACTAACTAATAAGATCATAAATGTCAACAGTTAATTAGTAATCGCATATTATTCTTTACAAATGAAATGAGTTCAATTACACAGCAGTTTGATTGTAAGGGTATTCGCACGATGTAACTGTATCATATAACCATGATCACTGAAAACAACAATAGAGAAAACTGTTACTGATTATTAGAAATTTAAACTAGTTCACAGTGCCAAATGTTATACATATATCAGTAAGAGTGTAAAAGCTGTGGTCCGATACGTAAAATAATTTAAAATTGATTGATCACTAGGTGGTGATCAATACTAGTTAAGTTAACATGTGGTCACTAGTCTTGATGACTCGATATTGCGTGCATTATGTTGATATAAGATGGTGTACGCAATGTCGAGTCATCTAGACTAGTGGCCACATTATAACTTGGTTGCTATGATTTGATGTGCACTAAGAATTACCTGACATAAATGACATTGATTGTCATTCAGTGATCAATCAATTGTAAATTCATCTCGGTTCTACAGAAGGTCAGTCAAGGCCCGGATAGCTCAGTGATAACGTTTCTAACTGTGAAGCTAGATGAAACATGATTGAATCCGTCAACGAGTATTATTTCCTTCAAGATCACAGGTACACTTTGCTGACGATTACCAAGTAACACGAAACTTTAAGTGTAGGATTGACTACCTCTAACCACTATCTTAAAATAATGTATTTCACTGACAAAAAAACAAATAGCCTACTTAGCAACTTTGTCTTTTTAAATTGAAAGATAATTCTGTTTAAATATTACGTACAAAAAGAATTACATTTCTCTATTCAAAGCAAAATCATCCGTCTGTAAGGTTGTCTTTTATTAAACTCTGTATATTATGATTTTCATAAAGAAGTTTTTCAGTCGACTATCTGAATTTTTTTCTTAAAATGTGTTAAACTATTAATAAATCAGATGAACTTTGTGGATATTATAGTAAATTCAGTGGTTAAGATCATGAGTCAATTAAAGTTAGACCACTATGAAGAACTTGGAAGCACTAGACGGCTCAGTGGTCTAGTGGTTAAGTGCACGCGCGTGAAACCAGTGGGTCCTGTGTTGAAATCCCGCACGGGACAAAGTCGTGGATGCTCAATGTTAGTATATCTTTGAAATAGTCTTCCAGGAACAAACTTTCAAAATAAATTCATTGACATTTTTAACCATAAATTGTAAGCATCTAGCTAATGAAACTTAATATTTCATGAAAGATTATATTGATACAATGATCCACTAAAAACCAACTGCTTTCAAGTAACCGTTTTCAATATAGTATCTAACTCTAAATAATTTAAGTATTGACTGAGGTCTCTAAATATTGACCAACTAATCCTAACTACTGTGACTGAATTGGATAATTCCTCAACAAGTGTTGAATCATGGACACTTCAGATTGATTAAGAAAATCTGATCACTTATTTCAATGAATTTACTATATATATAGTTCAAAGATGATTCAATTCAAATATACAAGGGAAGTTATCAAGGAACTTCATTTATCAAGATCGGAGTAATAGTCTTTACAAATCATGCTAAAAAATGATCTACTAACTCACAGCTTCTCTACAATATTTATAGACAACTTTACATTTAGTTATAACACATTGTCAGATCTGTCTAATTTTCTACATGTACATTAATGCAAATGAAAGTGTTCATAATACATATAATCCGTGTCGGGTAGAGACAAGTATCTACCTCAATACAATGGAAGTTGGTCGCGCAACTTCGTGGATTGGTTGATGTTGGACACTAACACCATTGGATGCCATCTCATTGGTCTAGTTTGTTAAGCGCCTGGCGCGAGACTGATAGGTCCTGAGTTTGAATCTCGCGGGGAGCGGGATCGTGGATGCGCACTGTTGTAGGAGTCCCACACTAGGACGAAACGGCCGTCCAGTGCTTCCAGGTTTCCAACAGTGGTTTAACATCAATTGATTTATGATCTCAATAGAAAAAATAATCACAACCTCTATAATGATATATTATTTCAGTCTAATTTGAAAGTAATGCATACCTTACAGAATCTCTTGGCATTAGGACAAAGTAGAGTACCTTGAAGCCAAGTTCTTCCATCAGTTACTTTAAAATGTACTTCACCTTTTTTAGGACAATGAACAGTTGCATTTTTGAAGTAAAAACTAAGTGTTCTGTTTGAGTGACATACGTACTGAAAAAAGAAGTCAAAGTTATTAATAAATCTTTAATATAATCCTAGACTGACTTAAAATAATGCCAGTTATGAATAATTACAATTATATTCATGGTGAGACTATAATATATGGATGAAATTTGAATGACGCTAGAGTGACTTTAATAATGTTCACTTAATAACTGAGACTAAAGGGAGTTGTAAACCACGCAAGACTGATAGGTCCTGGGTTCGAGTCTCGCGATCCCCGATCGTGGATGCGTACTGCTGAGGAGTCTTGCAATAAAACGAAATGGTCGTCCACTGCTTCCAGATTTTCCATAGTGGTCTAGTTTCAGTTGACTCACTATCTCAACGATTGAAATTACCATAATATCCACAAAAATGCTTCTGCTATACTTTATAGTTGATGGTTAGCTTTCGGATTTAGAGTAATGATTCTCATCACGAACTATTCTCAGCTTAATTCCCAAAACGCGATAAAGTCGAATAAATAAATGAATTTCGTGCCAAAATCCAAGATCTGTTATCTTATATCTAACTAGTTCGTTCATACATTATAGTTTCGCCATATTGTTATGATAAACAAAATTTTACTTGAAGTGCATGTATTGCTTTCTACTCCCAAAATTTTGTTAAGACTTTTGAAGTCCTACTTGTTTTAGTTTGATTCAAATAGTCCCCTAAAAACAGGGTTTAACTCAGTGTTTTGAGAAAATCTTTGACTTTTGATTAATAAAACCGGTTTTATTGTAGTAAATGACGTACTGTTCAGAGATGAATTGAGCAAGATATAACTAATGTGGACAAAGATTTTTAGAATCATAAACGTCATGTTTCATATTATATTATTACATATCTTACTTACTTACTCACTCACTTACTTACTTACTCACTTAATTACTTACTTACTAACTTACTTTTGTTACCCCTCATGTGGGAGACTAGGTCACATTTTAGTAGACAGAAAAAATGTTAGACAAACAGACTTAAACTTACCTTATGACAACTTGCTTGCACATTACTACTTATTTCCTCCTCATAATAGTCCTTATAAATCCAATTACCTCGATGTTCTGTACAAAGTGCCTTTGTTCCATATGTTTCGTATAAACGATTAACACCATCTGATATTGAAATAAAGTTCAAAAGGTATCTAAAAACATTCTGAATTTGTAGTAAAATAAACAAAAATATTAGTACATCTATGTTTACAAACAAAGAACATTGGATATTATATTCTCTGAACAAAGAACCTAAATGATGATGATGATGATGATGATGATGATGATGATGATGATGATGATGATGATGATGATGATGATGATGATGATGATGATGATGATGATGATGATGATGATGATGATGATGATGATGATGATGATGATGATGATGATGATGATAATGATGATGATGATGATGATGATGATGATGATGATGATGATGATGATGATGATGATGATGATGATGATGATGATGATGATGATGATGATGATGATGATGATGATGATGATGATGATGATGATGATGATGATGATGATGATGATGATGATGATGATGATGATGATGATGATGATGATGATGATGATGATGATGATGATGATGATGATGATGATGATGATGATGATGATGATGATGATGATGATGATGATGATGATGATGATGATGATGATGATGATGATGATGATGATGATGATGATGATGATGATGATGATGATGATGATGATGATGATGATGATGATGATGATGATGATGATGATGATGACGATGATGATGATGATGATGATGATGATGATGATGATGATGATGACCAATCTTTGTAAACTAATATACACTTTAACAGACCTTAGAACACTTTTGGGATATAATCACACTTTATCATTATTTCAACCAAATGTTATTTCTTAGTGTATAAAATATGAAAATACATAATATTTTAATGGATGTCATTAAGAAGTATTTTCAAAAAATCTGAAGCAATCTAAACCCATTCAACAATGAATTGATGTAAACGAATTGTACATAGTTTCGATAATTATTCTTTCTCTGAAGAGGATATTTCGAAAATTTTAGAGAGACTACAATTTATGTACGACCTTTGAGTGACTTTCAAGTGACTTTGAGAGGGTTCATCTAATAGCTAGGACCAGATGAAGATTATAAACCTGTATGAGAAATTAGAATGATAATTTATAGTTGATTGTCAAGATTAGGAATGGACATCATCTCTAATGCCAACATGGTATTGTGCCAAATGGATGAGTGGATTTCACACCAAAATCTAAGACCTGTTATTTTTTACCTGATTAGTTCGTCTATAAAATTATAGTCTGACCGATAAAACAATACAAAGAATAATATGCTATCGAAATGGATATTCTTCAATTGAAAGTTATAAATGATTCATATTCAATGGTTAAAGTAATGTAGTTCAACTTAGAAACTGATTAACATCAAGAATAAGAGCATATCACATAAGGAGATAACGAGATACTCACGTGTTATTTCTGTGTTTTCATGATGTGTACAAAATGATGTCGTTCTATAGTTCATCGAACTCATAACAAACTAACACGAAGGTTAACATTAAATAGGAAAACATAGAATTAACAATTTTAACTTTATTTATTATAGAGGTTAATTGAGAAGTTCTAAGCAAACTTGTGTGGAAACTGCCAATAGTTACTATGAATATATAACTTGGAGTATTTTATAATCAGTGATTTATACTTACCATTGTCATTACTTTGTTAGAATGACTTGACTTCTTTCACATTAAATAGATCTATGTTTCAAAAATAGTTGATAAGCATCTATTTGAGAGATCGATAAAACCTTGTAGATTATTGAACTACTAATGATGAATTATACAGTCTTTTCTCTTACTCAATTTTATCTGTTTAATGAATATTGTTCAACACGTGTACAGACCTGTTTTTCGATTGACCGCACATAATATTCTTATGTTGTTCCTTTGTACTATTTAAACCTAGATTAATTTTGATTTCGTTATTTGTTTATTCTCTGAAGAAGCGACATACGCTGAGTCACGAAACATCAGAAACTTTAATTTTTCTACTCATTTAGATATAAAGAAGGAACGAATCGAGCGAAGAAATTTCTTTTCAATTAGTTTTTCATCATGGCTCTACACTAATATATATACGTTTTACAATAATAATATAATACTCATCGAGTGGATACGTTACGTAATAATTACATAATGACATTTAAATTAACATTCAGTAATTGGAAGAGAGAGGATTATTAATATTCAAAGTAATCAAGAAGTTGCTATGTTGCGTAATATAAGAAACAAAGAAGGAATAGAATTTTACCGGATGGTCAATAGGATGCTAGTTATGTAAGAATCAAGAGATGAATGTTGATAATAACTTCTCAACATTCATCTCTTGATTCTTACATAACTAGCATCCTATTGACCATCCGGTAAAATTCTATTCCTTCTTTGTTTCTTATATTACGCAACATAGCAACTTCTTGATTACTTTGAATATTAATAATCCTCTCTCTTCCAATTACTGAATGTTAATTTAAATGTCATTATGTAATTATTACGTAACGTATCCACTCGATGAGTATTATATTATTATTGTAAAACGTATATATATTAGTGTAGAGCCATGATGAAAAACTAATTGAAAAGAAATTTCTTCGCTCGATTCGTTCCTTCTTTATTTACCAAATGGCCAAATGGGAATTTTCATTTAGATATTACAAATATTATATATATATAGGTCGTGGGTTCGAATCTCGCGAGGTGGGGTCATGGACACGCACTACTTAAGAGTCTCACAATAGGACAAAATGGCCCTCCGATGCTCTAGCTTCAACTGACTCATGATCTCAACTATTGAAATTATCAAGTCAGACTTTGCTAATGATACTTATTGTTCAATACCGATTCATGAATTCAACTAATATAATATTTCAAATGAAATAATACAATAAACTTACAGTTTGAGTTGGACAATAATCTTTAAATGGATCATCACCTCCAAAGTATTTAGCTGCATATGGAGTTTCAAATGGAGGAGTTTTAAAAAAACGATCTTCAGGGGGAATTTCATCATTATATTTAATAATATGGCATATTCCATATGAATATAAATCCCGACATGTTACTAAATTAACCTTATCACAGAATGGATGAATTGTTTTGTTCCTTGAAAAATAAGTTGTATTTTTAAATCATTTATAACTAATTTACAATGAAACATAAGTTTTAGTAAGCATGTAAATGTACAATAGAGTTCATCTAACTCTTTTGTGTACGAACAGTCTAGCCATGTGGTATTAGATCATCAACGTACTGTAGTGCGTGCTACTTATATTGATATAAGTAGTATATGACGCGAGTCAAGAATGTAATGTCTAGCAGTAGAAGGTGGAGGAAGATCAAGAAAGCAAGAGTGGGAATAGAATGAAATCTGTATAAAAATGCAAGGACAATGAAGTCTGAGGCATTTTGAGACAAATGGTGGACATTTTGTAAATTAACGATTTACTATATAATTCTCATATTTTATTGAGATGCCCTGTAATTTTGTGTTAAATACATTCGGTTGTCCTTACCCGTGTTCTGTTCACTACACTGCTACATTATTATAAGTATATGAAATTTCTCCTAAATATCTATCCTATTATGGAGTAAGAAAGCAGTTTGTTCTACTATACGTCCTTTTATTCATAATGTGGTAATGATAAACTATACTGAATAATTGATATTTATGATCAGAATGAGGTTTTTGTGGAGTTTGTAGTAATTTTAATAGTTGAATTTATGAGTGACTGACTTCAAGATGGTTTCATGGAATTCTAATGAGAAGCCGTGACTAGAGGAGTCTAAACTGTGTCAAGTGGACACAATTATCTACCTCACATAATAGATGAATGGTTGCGTAGTCATTCATGGATCGATGGAAGTTGGACATTAACACCGTTGGAAGTTGACTTTTCGCGCGCAAGACTGAAGCTTCTGGGTTCGAATCTGCGCGTGCAAGATTCTGTGCTTACGCTTCTGAGAAGTCCCATTCTAGGATGAAATGGCCAGCTTTTCAGTTTAAAAAAAGGTTTTGATGGAATAACATCACTTTGATATTTGGTCATTTTTCGAGATATGAACTTAATAGTATGATAAATATATTGATACATCTGTTTCCTGAGTATACATTTTGCTTTCTTAAACATTAAATAATGATGATGTAATTGCTGAAGAATCGCATACTAGAACGAGATAGTTGTCCAATGCTTTTAGGCTTTCAATATCAGTCTAGCTTAGATCGAATCATTCATTCAACCATTAAAACTTACTTTCGTCTTTTAATTTTAGCAAATGCATAACAGCTTTTTTCAGCAAAGTCACATCCTAATCTTTTACCATATTCCCAAATCATAGCTTTTTCATAATTAACGATGTACCATCTAATAAATTAAACAAAAACAACTTGATGTAATTTAAGCATAATTGATATATATTTATAATAACCCCATAATTGATATAATTAGTATGTTCTATTCTGGTTAGCGTTTTTTAGCCAGTTAGTTTTCTACGGGATGGGGTCACTAATCCCATACCCAACCCTCCTCCTTTATCCGGGATTGGGACAGGCAGTAGCCCTGGAGGGACTCAAGGAGGAGTTTTATTCACAAATATGAATATTTACATTACATTAAGTTTTCCACTATATTTTGTTGATTACGTATTATAGGCATAGATTGGTTGTTCAAATTTTTTGAGAATGAAAAAGGCATAATTATCATAGATACTGATAAGTCTTGTTAATTTGAACGCTTTGTTCGGTTCCTAAGCTATTCTGGTAACCCGCAAGCTAGAACTACGCAGCAACCTGAACTCGAGAGAAAAGGCGTAAAATAAGCCGAAAACACTCTACTCCAAAGGTTCATTTTTGTACAGAAAAACACGGGTATTTATAGATATTAACATTTGTTAAATCAACACCATATTTTGGCCAATCCGCTAAAAGACATATTATGCTACTGACCAATAGTAGTACGTCACGGTAATATTCTAGAAAGCTCCATCATCCTCTGATTGGCTAGGGTTCTTCAACTCTTTAGGGCCTCTGGAGGCTCCGTTGCAGTTCTCAGAAATCCGACTCAGCAGATACTTTATCGATATATACATAGGATAAAGTCACTGAATTATTCCGGTGTTTAATAAATGAATTATTTTGAATTATATTAAAGTATATTAACTTAAAACTATGTCAGATGGCTTTTGTGGATATTATAGTAGTTTCAATGGTTAAAATTATGAGTCAATTGAAGCTAGACCACCATGGAAAACCTGGAAGCACTGGACGGACGTTTCGTCCTATTGTGGGACTCCTCAGCAGTGCGCACCCACAAACCCGCCCCCTGCGAGATTCGAACCCAGAACCTACTGGTTTCGCGCGCGAGCATTTAACCACTAGACCACTGAGCCGGCACTCAACTGACTCATGATCTTAACCATTGAAATTAATATAACATCCACAAAACCCATCTGATATTAATCAATATATGCTCATTAGTGACTGGCTTCAAGAGGTATATTCTGAAGTCCTAGTGAGAAACAGTGACCAGTGGATTTCAAACGAGTCTACTGTGAGATAGTAACTCACTGGTGAGAATGGTTGATATGTCGCTCAATTTTGTGGATTAGTTGACTTTGGACATTAACACCGTTGGATGCCGGCCGGCAGGCTCAGTGGTCTAATGGTTAATCGTTGGCGCACGAGACCGATAGTTCATGGGTTCGAATCTCGCAGGGGGCGAGGTCGTGGACGCGCACTGCTGAGGAGTCCCACAATAGGAAGAAACGGCCGTCTATTGCTTCCAGGTTTTCAATGGTGGTGTAGCTTCAACTGTCTCATGATCTTAACCACTGAAATTAAAACTATGTCTGTTTGTATTGGTATTGTTAAGAATCCTAGATTATTGTAAATGAATATTTGTTCATTACTAGATAATTCAACAAAAATTATCAGATGAATACGTTGTGAAGAAGAAACATTTCTATGACCCAAGTAGCTGAGAAAATCATCTGTATGAATTGAGATGTTTATTATGGATACTGATTATATTTATGATCGCTTGAAGCATTCGCTTGCTTAAATGACGATATTTTTAGCAAACTGATTGTAACCCAATCTAGATTTACTGGAAACATAAACGATTTTAGGATTCTGATCAGTGGCGAATGTCACATTTAAATGACACAATCTTTACCTTAGAATCAGATAAATTTCCTAACAAACAGCCAACTACTAAATCATTTATGGTAAGGAAATAACATACAATATGTATATTTGTAAAGTTATAATTCTCTCGAAGCATATAATGAATCAGTCAGAAATGTACTGTAACCTATTTATATGGTTTATACTTTAGACTAAGTTGATACAATAAATCAGTTGTGTTTTAATAACTTTTTTGAACAGAGGATCTATGATATTACAAACAAGTAAACTAAGGTTATTGAGATAATTCATACAATAGATTATATTACTAGGGTTGATAAAGATAATCTTACCCTGAATCTTCAAAGAAACCTAAAGTCATATTAGATACAGCATAGTCTACTTCTATTCTTCCAGTCATTAATTCATTCTAAAATATATTTGAAGAAATGAAATGAATAAACATTAATAGAATAAAATGAATACACATAGTTTCATGGGATAAAGTTCATTTCCTAAGTACTATAATCAGTCAGTCAGCAACAACATGAAACTTCGTATGTACGTACGGACGTACATCAGTTCAAGTTACCATACCACATTACCACACAGATACAATTGTCGTTTCAAATCCCATAGTGATAAACGTAGTAATAATATAAGCAGTAATCGGGAAGATTAGTATTCAAAGATGTTATTCAAAGAGTATAATTCAGTAAAATAAGTTTGGAAAAAGAGAAAAAGAAACATGAAGTATTCAGAAGATTAGAATTTAGGAGAACACAAAGAAAGGATGCACGTGCACCGTTACAAACGATTTTGAGCCAAGTACTATAATATATCATTCTAAATAAATTCCATTCACAACGTACAGCAATAACATGATAATCTTGTAAATTTTGTTTAGATGTTATTTTCTTGACTTACTTACTTACACCTGTTACTACTAATGGACCATAGGCCGCCGATCAGAATTCTCCAACACACTCTGGCCTAGGCACTCTTTTCTAATTCCATCCAATTCTTGTTCATTTTTCTCATGTCTATCTCCATTTCCCGACTTAATATGTTCTTTGGTTTTTCTCTTCTCCTTTGACCTTGAGGATTCCAAGTGAGGGTTTCTCTTGTAGCGTAGTTGGGTGCTTTCCTTAATGTGTGTCCTAATCACTTCCAACGCCTCTTTCTGATCTCTTCCTCCACTGGAATGTGGTTTGTTCTCTCCCACAGTTGGTTGTTGCTAATAGTGTCCGGTCAACGGATTGGAAGTGTTTTGCGTAGACATTTGTTATTAAGCCCTTGTATATTCTGAATGATTGGTTTCGTAATTCTCCAAGTTTCCACCCTATACATTAAAACTGTGTTGACATTTGTATTGAGAATTCTGACTTTGGTGTTTGTTAACAGTTGTTCTGAATTACAGATGTTCTCCAATTGTAGATATACTGCTCTTGCTTTGCCGATCCGCGCTTTCACATCTGCATCAGATCCACTATGTTCATCAATGATGCTGCCCAAATATGTAAAGGTGTTTACATCTTCCAAATCTTCTCCGTCAATTGTGACTGGATTGGTGCATTCTGTGTTGTATCGGAGAATCCTGCTTTTCCCTTTGTGTATGTTGAAACCTACTGCTGCTACACTGATCGTCTTCTCTTGCATTTGTCGTTGCGTTTGCGATAGGAGGGCCAGATCATCTGCAAAGTCTAGATCGTCAGACTGCATCCTAGATGTCCTCTGTATCCCGTGTTTCCCTTCAGATGTTGACGTCTTCATGATCCAGTCGATCACCAGGAGAAAGAGGAAGGGTGAGAGTAAGTAACCTTGCCTGACACCGGTCTTGTAAACTTTGTTTAGATGTTAATTTCTTGACTAATTTGTGTTAAATACTGCTCTTGCAAAACATCAGTATCAATAAGGAATAAAAATAAAATCAGAAGGGATTTTTTGTGGATATTATAGTAATTTAAATAGTTAAGATCATGAGTCAACTTAAGCTAAACAACTATGGAAAACCTGGAAGCAATAGACAGCCTCTTCGAACTATTGTGAGACTCCTCAACAGTGCGCATCCGCAATCTCGACTCGTGAGGTTTGAACCCAGGACCTAACACATAACCACTAGACCACTGAGCCAGCATCCAACGGTGCAAATGTCTAACTTCAACTAATCCACAAAATTGGGCGACACATCCACCACTGTCATCAGTGAGTTACTATCTTGCAACAGACCCGGTTGAAATCCAGTCACTAGTGACCATATGTAAATAACAAAAGAAGTTAGAAGTCTGTTTTCATCTGTCGTGTCTTCCATTTTCTTGTACAATCATAAAGATTAAGTTCACTTGATATTCATTGCTTGTATCCTCATATTGTTGTTTAGGATTAAAATTGATCAGTCTCTTGTTGGCCTATGCACATCCTGTGCGGATCGCCTCAATATATACTTAAGTTACAAGTTTTATAAGTTCCGAAGTGAATATCAATTCTAGGATTCAGGTGGATCCAGCTGACCAGTGCGAAATAAGGTGAAACGTTCATCCTGGATTACACTGCTAATCAACATTCATCTTAGCTTATAAAATCATGAAAATTATTTAAACAAGTGATATACACTGGAATGTGAATCGTCAGCAGACCAATGTTTATAATCCTGTTTATTTTGTAATATTTGTATCATAAATACCAGGTAGTTATAAAAACTAAATACCAGTTGAAATACCATTATAGAAAAACATTAAAATATATCTAATAAAATATACTTTTTTGATTGAGATCATGAACCGATTGATGTTAGATCGCCCTTGAAAACCTGAAAGCACTGGACAGCCATTTCGTTCTATTGTGCGACTCAACAGTTTACATCTACGATCGCTGGATCCAGCCATTGGCGTGTAAGACCAAAGGTCCTCTATTCGAATCCATAAACCTTATTTTGTAATAGATAATTTTTACTACAGTTTTCTACAGTATTCTATCAGAAATTGTGATTAAACTTACTCCGTATGTTTTCCCTTCCCAATGAGAACCAATCGGTCCACGATGTTTTTGATTTTCTAAATCAACTCCATCTAAACGTGCACATTTCAAATGCTTTTTTGCAGCTCCCTAAATAGTATGTATATAAGATTTCATATCGTTTAGTAACATTAAATTAACTTTAAATGTGTTCTATATTATTTTTTAAATAACTCATTGTGATATCCTAATGAGAATTAAATTAGGGGTAACTTCTGAGAACTCTCTATAGACAATATATTATACATATATTCTTATTGTATAACCATTCAGTAACTAGATTGTGTATACCTATATTCCTCTTATCATAAGCTTTATTTTCATCTAGAGATTATTATTATAATTATTATATGATTTACTGTTATTAAGTTATGTTCAGTTTATTGACTACTGCCTCCCACGTTCACAGTCACATTTGATTAAATCTTATACAAATGTTATTTCCTATTTTATGGTGTGATATGGTTTGTTTGGCTGATATATAAACCAAGTATGTTTGAAATAAATGATTTGCGTAGTAGAAGCTGTTATTGACGTTCCAGACTCAACTGGAAAGGTTAGGCCGACAAAGGATGAATAAAAACACTAGACTATTCATACCGGTCGAACGTCATTGGTATGGTAGAGTACTAAGATTGAATGGCGAATCAATCACATGATAGTTGATCAGGCTCAAAGTCACAACAAATTACAACAACATATACTCGAATATTAGAATATAACTCAAGGTCAATTGTTATTTCAATAAATTATATAATTAAAATAATCCATTATGTCATTGAATAAAAAATAAAGATAATCCAGCATTATACTCTTCTCTTACCCCTCAATTATTATGTAACCTCATCTTACTTATTACTTACTTACGCGTGTTACTCTTCGTGAAGGAGCATAGGTCGCTCACCAGCACACTCCATCCAAACCTGTACTGGGCAATCCTTTCTAGCTCTTTCCAGTTGTTATTCATATTTTCCATATCCGCATCTATTATCCGACGTAATGTTCTGTTCGGCCTTCCGCTTTTCCACTTCCCTTCATGATTCCAAGTTAGGGCTTGCCCCGTGTTGCAGTTTGACGATTTGCGTAATGTATGTCCTATCCATTTCCATCGTCTTTTCCTAATTTCTTCTTCAGCTGGAAGTTGGTTTGTTCTCTCCCACAGAAGGCTATTGCTGATGGTATCCGGCCAATGGATGTTTAGTATCTTGCGTAGACAGCTATTTATAAATACTTGTACCTTCTTGATGGTGGTTGTTGTAGTTCTCCAAGTTTCAGCTCCATACAGTAGAACTGCCTTGACGTTCGTATTGAAGATTCTCACTTTGATATTGGTTGAAAGGTGTTTTGAGTTCCATATGTTCTTCAATTGTAGGAATGCGACCCTTGCTTTGCCGATCCTCGCCTTTACGTCTGCATCGGATCCTCCTTGTTCATCGATGATGCTTCCTAGGTATGTGGAGGACTCTACATCTTCCAGAGTTTTGCCATCAAGAGTGATTGAATTGCTGTTCTCCGTTATGAATTTGAGGAACTTGGATTTCCCTTTGTGTATACTGAGGCCTACTGATTCGGAGATTGCTGCTACACTGGCTGTCTTTATTTGCATCTGTTCGTGTGTATGGGATAGGAGGGCTAGGTCATCTGCGAAGTCCAAATCGTCTAATTGATTTCGAGCTGTCTATTGTATTCCGTGTTTTCCCTCAGATGTCGAGGTCTGCATAATCCAGTCGACCACCAGAAGAAAGAATCTCGAATCAATTTATGATGTAATCATTTCTATCTTTCTATAAACTCATATATTTTCCACAATAACTTTAAATACGAATGTACAGCTTATGTAAATGATTTCTTCGGAAAGAAATGTTTCTTCGCTGAATTCTCATTATTCTTAGATTATATAACTTTGAATCAGTTATTTACGTGATACTCTACAGCGGATTAAAATACTTACATTAAACATTATTATTGTGTTAAACAGTGCAGTAAATTGACATTCAGAGGTACAATTGAGCAATCTTTTTCGAGAATGAGTGTATTCATAAAAGTAATAAGAACATGTAATAAGAACATATATCTATCGAAAAACTATGTATCTGTCATAAACAAGTAGATTAATGAATAATGCACATATTAGTCTTGTTGTAAGTACGTCCAGCCTATGTATCTCAAAATGGACATTATGTTATTCCTGAATTTCTTTGTTATACACTACTCATGAATCTAATTTTATTGTCAGAAAGCTTTAGTTGTGTGATGTGAGCTACTTATATTGACATAAGTAGTATATAACCCTAGTTAGAAATATAATGGACTTCAGTAGAATATCGAGAAAGAAAAATGGGGACGGAAAACGATTGATACGAAAATGCAGAAACAGTGCAGTTTGAGGCAACTGACTGATATTTGAAGAAGGAGCAGTCAAGTTTGAGACAATTGATTGATATTTTGCAAATGACATTTACTGCATGTTTCTGAGATTTCACTAAGATGTTTTGTAATATTTTGTTGAATTACATTCAATTGTCTCCAGTTATGTTTTTGTTCACTGCAGTTATTTATGAGCTGTTTTTTCAATCTTTTTAGATTCTCTGCAGTTCTACATGTATTTTATAGGATTTTACCACCATGAAATTGTAACTTCATCATCAAGTATGGATTTCGGTACTCTGATTTCAGCCACAACATATATACACGTTATTCATCCTACCCTAGGACTGAAGAAAATGAAGTGAGTTTCCACAATCTTGTCTGTAGGTAAACACTGAATGATGTAATCATCAGGTTACCAGTCAAAGTTAACCAGTATTATACAAATGAAATATATAACATGCGGCAATCTGTTTATTTACTGTGGGAGAGAACTAACCCCATTCCAGTGAAGGAAGAAACTCTGGAGGCGGATAGAACACACATTGAGGAAAGCAACCAAATGCGTCACAAAACAAGCCCTCAGTTGAAATACTCAAGGCTAAAAGAGGCTGCAGAGACCAAAAAACACATTACACCGATAAATGGAGACAGATGTGAAAAGAATGAGCAAGAATCGGATAGAAGTAGAAAGAAAAGTCGAGGACAGAGTGTGTTGCAAAATGCTGGTCGGCTGCCTATACTCCATTGGGAGTGACAACCGTAAGTAAGTTAGTTAGTTAGTCATCTATTTGTCGTTCCAATATCTAATATATCCATAGACTGTATTGACAAATGGATTTATATTTATGTATCTTTGAAACTATTTCTTGTTGTTAAGTGAAATATAGAAAAAAAGTGTAAAACATATATATTGACTTACCAAGATGGAAGGTGTAACGAAAGAGTAAAAATCCTTTCTAAACATCCCTTCTGCACTTTCCCATTCCCTTGTAATTTTGATCATTGTATTGTCGCTATGGAAAAAATATATTTGATTCATTTAGATAAATTAAAAATAACCATTATGTAAGCAAGTATATATATATATATATGTAGGTATGTATGTGTGTGTATGTAAGTATGTATGTATGTAAGTAAGCTTGTAATTCAAAACCATTTACAATGCAATACAAAGCAATCTCATGGTCATAGTTATTTGAAAATTAAAACTAGTGGAGTTGTGAATATTACCATTCCTTTACTTACTTACTTACTTACTTACTTACTTACTTACTTACTTACTTACTTACTTACTTACTTACTTACTTACTTACTTACTTACTTACTTACTTACTTACTTACTTACTTACTTACTTACTTACTTACTTACTTACTTACTTACTTACTTACTTACTTACTTACTTACTTACTTACTTACTTACTTACTTACTTACTTACTTACTTACTTACTTACTTACTTACTTACTTACTTACTTACTTACTTACTTACTTACTTACTTACTTACTTACTTACTTACTTACTTACTTACTTACTTACTTACTTACTTACTTACTTACTTACTTACTTACTTACTTACTTACTTACTTACTTACTTACTTACTTACTTACTTACTTACTTACTTACTTACTTACTTACTTACTTACTTACTTACTTACTTACTTACTTACTTACTTACTTACTTACTTACTTACTTACTTACTTACTTACTTACTTACTTACTTACTTACTTACTTACTTACTTACTTACTTACTTACTTACTTACTTACTTACTTACTTACTTACTTACTTACTTACTTACTTACTTACTTACTTACTTACTTACTTACTTACTTACTTACTTACTTACTTACTTACTTACTTACTTACTTACTTACTTACTTACTTACTTACTTACTTACTTACTTACTTACTTACTTACTTACTTACTTACTTACTTACTTACTTACTTACTTACTTACTTACTTACTTACTTACTTACTTACTTACTTACTTACTTACTTACTTACTTACTTACTTACTTACTTACTTACTTACTTACTTACTTACTTACTTACTTACTTACTTACTTACTTACTTACTTACTTACTTACTTACTTACTTACTTACTTACTTACTTACTTACTTACTTACTTACTTACTTACTTACTTACTTACTTACTTACTTACTTACTTACTTACTTACTTACTTACTTACTTACTTACTTACTTACTTACTTACTTTATTGCTCTTATATATTTGCTTATAAAACTATATTAGGTAATTCGTTAAACCTACCTTTCTCATCGTTTGCTTATTTGTAGCTTGATTTGAACTCTGCCCAATATAAATTACTGGATAGAACTAGAAAGGAAGGCCGAAGACAGAGAATGCTAGTCGGCGTCATAAGCAAGTAATCAAGTTAGTAAGTAATATAAACCCATTGTTTCAACATCATTTCACTTTTCAGAATTTGTAAAGTATTAGAAGTTTCAATGAAAATGATCATCAAATCAAATGACATAATAAGTTTAGATATAATCTTATAAGTATTATTTAACAGACTCAACGAAGTAAACTTTCATTTCCATGACATCATTTACTTAAGATGTACATTCGTATTTATTGTTGTATGGTAAATAAATGTTCATAAAAGATAACATCATAAAGTGAATCGAGATTATAGATATCAAATGAGGTTGCGTAATAGTCACGAGGTGGGACGGGGTAGGGATGAATACATGAATGAAAATAATTTACGGGTTAGAATTGTCCATGTGACAGATCTGAAGGAAAAAACCGAATAAAATGATGGTTATCTTAATAACTGAACCATAGTCTCAACTCATTTTATGATGTCATCTTTTCTATCCCTCTATAGACTCATATATTTACCTTTCAAGTATAAATATGAATGTAAAACTTAAGTAAATGATTTCGCCAAATAGAAATTTTTCTTCGTTAAATTCTTTATATTTTTATCAGAATGGGTTTTGTGGAGATTTATAGAAATTTCACTGATTGAAATCATGAGTCAATTGAAGCTAGACCACCATGGGAAACCTGGAAGTACTGGACGGCCGTTTCGTCCTAGTATGCGACCCCTTAGCAGTGCTCATCCACAATCCCGCACCCCGCGAGACTCGAACCCAGGATCTATCAGCATCGCGCCAGGCGCTTAACCAACTTGATCGCTGATTCGGCATCCAACGGTGTTAATGTCTAAATTCAACCAATCCAAGAAGTTGAACCACCGTACACCATTATCTTCAGTGAGTTCCTATCTCACAACAGACCTGGTTGAACTCAACTGGTAACAGCCTCTCACTAGAACTCCAGGAGTATCTCTTGAAGTCAATCAATAGATTTGCCTTTAATCTTAATTATCTAATACATATTTATTAGAAATAATTACCTTGGTATATAATAACCTTGTTTATCCCTGTGAACCGGTTTATGCCAATGATCTCTGGGAGTTCGTTCAGTTCCATTAGGAAAACGCATAAATGCAAAACTAGATGACGAGAATCCCTAAAAACAAAAGAGAAAATTATTTGTTTCTTTCTTTTTGGCGAATACACAATCTCAAATGTGAGCAGCTTATATCATTGATGTCAAAATATAGATCTAATAGTAAATGAATCAGTGAATAGATCAATGGTAAATAATTCTCAACTGAATCAAATCTTTGTAACTACCCATTTACCTTAAATTTATTCAATCTTTATGTCTGAAAAGTAGATTATTTTAGGATAACTATCGACTCTTCACATGACTTATCATTATATTAAACGTCTGAATATCAGATTCTATAAAGCTGGAATTATTTCAGTTTATGAAGCAAACTAATTTAATAGTTGAATTCATGAGTTAATCAAAGCTGAACCACCATGGAAAATCTGGATGAACTGAATGGCCAGTTACGCGCGCAAACGCCTAACCTCTAAACCACTGATCCACAAAGTCGCACCACCGTCCACCATTGTCATCAGTGACTTACTATCTCACAACAGACGTGGTTAAACTCCGCCGGTCAGTGGAGTGGTTGAAGTTAGACATTAACACCGTTGGATGTCAACCCAGTGGTCTAGAGGTTGGACGTTCGCGCACGAGACCTACATGTCTTGGGTTCGTATCTCACGAGGTGAGATCGTGGATGAGCACTGCTGAGGAGTCTCACAATAGAACAAAACAGTAGTTCAGTGCTTCCAGATTTTCCATTTTGGTCTAGCTTCAATCAAATCATAAATTCAACTTTTAAATTACTATAATTACCACAAAACCACTCTTTCATTATAATATTAAGTAAACGCATGTCCAGAATAAATAAAGTTTGTAAACGAACTTCAACCAAGATGATGTAATATATTGATAGTGTTCATTTCAAATAAATGTTACTAAGAGAATAGATAAACTTACAAGTGCATGAGCAATTTCATGAGTGAAAATTCCAAGTGAATATCTATTATCAGGATATTCAATTTTCAGTTTACCTGGACATATATTAACATATCCAAGAATTGGTCTACAATATAAACAAATACCAGTATAATTTCTCTTAAAATTTTATTTCTAAATTGATTATGTTATTAAGTAAAAGTGGATAGTGGCTAGTAGAAGAATCCAGTAAGTGTGTTTCGTCCTATTTGGCACTCATCAACTGAATGTACCTTTATCTCAGAGTTGATGTTCAGACTGGAACAAAGATCCATCTTTGCTTATAATACTTATGACTTAAAGCAATATCGAGACAATCCGCACAGGATAAACATATGCCAATATGAGACTGATCAATTACAGTCCTACAAAACAGTGGGAAGATACAAGTAAAACAACACCAAGCGAGGTTGTTTATGTTATTATTTCATTTTTTGTTTACATCTCTAAGAGGACGAAACGGTCTTCTAGTGTTTCCAGGTTTTCAATGGTAATCTAGCTTAGATAGACTTTAAGAATTCAACTGTCAAAAAACTGAGTATTAGAAAATCAAATATGGGCAGTTTGATTTTACTGGCTTTCAGTACAAGCATTTCAAAATCAATTATATTCATAATCAATCGAACATATTAATGTTTTTTCTATCTACCATCAAGTTTACTATGAAGGGTAGATGGTATTAATGATTTGTACTAATCGACAGATAGAATTTACTATTATTCTTCACATAAATGATCTGTAACAGTTCTATCTGAAGTTTGTGCTGATGATGTCGTTCAGAAGAACAATGAAAGCTCTACAACCAAACCATCCAACTCAGAGAATAAAATTCCATCAAAATCGATAACACAATCAATCATTCTAATTGGTTTCAATTAGAGTTTTCTTTAGTTTTCGTTTGTAACCAACTTGTAATGTAGATAGTTTTAAATTTGGATTTAAATTCTACCCGATGTCAATCAAAGAGTTAAAGAAATGATTCATACTTCAATATTTCTTCTCAAAAAGACTTTGAAATGTGTAAAAGTCACCGTTTTCATCAAATTAGTATCTTGATAATACGAAATTAGTTCATATTTGACGAAAATGTAGAATAATTCTTTACGGAGTTTAGGTGTAAAAACCTTTCGGTTCAACAGAAATGTGGAATCAATGACAAGATAAAAGAAGTACTTTAGTGAACGAGAACACAAATGGAGACAATTGAATGTATTTCAACAAAAAATTACTAAGCATCTTAGTAAAATCTCAGATACATACAGTAAATACATCATTTGCAAAATGTCATTCAGTTGTCTCAAACTTGACTGCTCCTTCTTCAAATATCAGTCAGTCGTCTCAAACTCCACTGTTTCTGCATTTTCATACCAATTGTTTTCCGTCCCCATTTTTCTCGATGTTCTACTAAAATGCATTATATTTCTGACCAGAATTATATACTACTTATGTCAATATAAGTAGCTCACATCACACAACTAAAGCTTTCTGACAATAAAATTAGATTCATGAGTAATGTGTAACAAAGAAATTCAGGAATAACATAATGTCCATTTTGAGATACATAGGCTGGACATACTTACAACAAGACTTAAATGTGCATTAATCACTAGTGTACTTGTTCTTGACAGATACATAGTAAATACTCCATTTGTAAAATTTTAATCAATTTTATCAAACTTAACTGTTCCTTTTGAAAATATCAGTCAATCGTCTCATTCTTCACTGATCCTGCATTTCTATATCAATTGTTTTCTGTTCTCGTTACTTCCTTCTTGATTTTCTCAATCTTTTACTGACAGACATTCTATTCCTGACTCTGTTTATATACTACTTATTTTGCACACACCACAATATCAGTTTACAGACAAAAAACAGTTATTAATTTAAACTTTGTTTCAACTTTATTCTCTTAAGAAACAAACAACAAGGTTCACAATACTCAAGAGATTTTATCAAAATCACTGTTTTATATGTTTTCTATAAAATTAAAAATATCAATGTAATTACCTGTCAGTATCTAGATCCATTAAACAAGATCCAGCATGAGCTGCTACGTTGCCGGTACAGCTCCTTGTTTGATAACCGTCAAAAAGTACGACATAACCGGCAGATGGAATCCCACTCCCATTAGTGTATAGTCTATGCAACCTTTCATTGTACTTTTCTGAACATTCCTGATGAATAATAATATTCATATGCGTAATTTAAGTAGCATATATTGGACACATGAAATGTACATAGTTTTATTAAATGTAATAATTATATTTCTATATATTCATGCTGAATAAATATTCGGTAAGACTATAATTTATGAACAAACCGCTTAGTTATAAGGCAAAAAGGTCTCGGATATTGACGTAAAATTCATTCATTCATTTGACTAAATAGGGTTTTGACATTATAGCTGATGTCAGTTCATAATGAAAACCATAAATCTAATTCCTAACCTTAAATATCAAATGTAAATCATAATTGTACTTCCTCATACAGGTTTATAATCCTCATTTGGTTCTAGTTATTAGATGAACACTCCAAAAGTCATTTTAGTGTCACTCAAAGATTGTCCATAAATTAATGGAATGTATAATTACAACAGAGAATATAATGAAATGAGTAGATAATTAAATGGGGAATAAAAGTGAACAATCTTTACGCTAAAATAATGAATGAACAGGCTTTTGATAGTTTTAGATAATGATGTAAGTATGTTTTTATGTCTTGTAGACACTCAAGATCTTTTAATCATTACTGCTAATTATAATTCATTTTGGTTACGCAAAATAAAAAAACATCTTAGATTTACCTTTATAATAGTATTTCATTATAGACAATCTATAAACAGTACGTTTCAATCGAGTAGATTTATTAACAGAAGTCGTACACTTCTAAACAAATTTTTTTTGATTGATAGTTATTAGAAAGACATGGATCTACGAAGCAAGAGCATCATATTTACAACTGAAGGACATCTGGAACTCAAAACAACTGTCAATCAACACCTAAGTCAGAATTTTCAATACCAATGTCAACACAGTTCTACTGTATGGGGTAGAAACCTGAAGAATTACGAAACCAATCATCCAGAAGATACAAATATTTGTTAATAATTGTCTACGCAAAATACTTCCAACCCGGTGGCCACACACTATCAACAACAACCTACTATGGGAGAGAACAAACCACATTCCAGTGGAGGAAGAAATCAAACAGAAGCGTTGGAAGTGGATAGGACACACGTTGAAGAAAAAAACCAACTACGTCACAAAAGAAACCCTCACTTGGAATCCTCAAGGTCAAAGGAGGAAGACCAAAGAACAGGTTACACCGAGAAATGAAGACAGACATAGGAAGAATGAACAAGAATTGGGTAGAAGTAGAAAGGAAGATTAAGGACCGAGTGGGTCGGAGAATTCCGGTCGGTGGCCTATGCTCCACTGGGAGTAATACGCGCAAGTAAGTAAGTATTAGAAAGACTGAAATTCTTCATCGTTTACCTTGGGTTATTCATTTTTCAGCTAACGTAAACTATATAAATTAAAATATTGTGAAAATCTTCTTTAAAGATTTCAAGGAATTATTATTAGTTGCCTGTGAAATTTAAAAATCGGCATAAATGTTAACAGTGTTTGTTGAAATAGAAGTAATAGACGTGTGAAAGTATGATTTACAACATTCATATAAATGGAACATTTCAGTAATATACTCACAGATGAATATTCATTTGGGATATCTATATGACCACATTTTGCTTGAATTTGGCATCGTGATTCAATACAAACAGAATCCTTTGGATAAGTAATGTAGTTTTTGGAACTTTCACAATATCTAGATATTCAAGAAAAAAATTCATTTTTAAAATGTAACATTTAACCATTGTTGTAGTTTAAAAGTAAAACATTTTGATAGGGAATTCTTGAAGTTCTAGTAAGAAGTCGCGACCAGAGGAACTAGTCCGTGTCGGGTAGTAATAGACAGGTATCTACCTCAGAACAATGGAAAATGGTCGCGCAATTTCGTGGATTAGTTGAAATTGGACAATAACACCGTTGGGTGCCGGCTTAGTAGTCTGAAAGTTTAGCGTTCACACGCGAGACCGAAGGTCCTGGGTTCGACCCCATGAGCGGAGTCGTAGATGTGTACAGCTGAAGTGTCCTATATTTAGACGAAACGGTTATCTAGTACTTCCAGGTTTTCAATGATGATCTAATATCAAACAATTCATAATCTCAATTAGAAATTTATTAATCTCCACAACACCACAATTATAATAATCGAAAAATTGAAAATTAATTATTCAAATGATACCTTTGAGCAAGTTGATTAGTTTTTTCTGGTCTTTTAACTGTTAATGCTTCTTGCCAAAATTGCATTGCCTGATGTGCGAATTCCTGTAAAATTTATATATTAAAAGACTGGTAAAAAAGGTGAGACTATAATTTATAGACGAACGAATCAGGTATAAGATAATAGTGTCGGATTTTTGCGCAAAATTCAATCATCCACTCGGCTTAAAAGAGTTTTGGTATTAGAGCTGATGTCAGTTTGTGATGAAAACCGTTAATCTAATTCCTCACACTAGTTTATAACCATCATTTGGTTCTAGTTAATAGATGAGCGCTCTCAAGGTTACTTTAGCGTCACTCAAAGGTCTTCCATAAATTATATTTCATGGAATAAAATAATCTGAAAAATCTATATGATTTACACATATATGAGATGGCGGAGACGATTTGTAGCTCGGGTGAATGATTTTCATGGAGTTTTGTTCTCTAAACTGGATGGTTTGGTCGTGGAGCTTTCATCGTTCTTCTGAACGACATCATCAGAACAACCTTCAGGTAGAAGTGATGTGTTCGCATTTCTCCACATGTTATAAACAAAAATCAAACCAATGGGAGATACAACCAAGAGAAAAAAGGTAAACAATGACAGGTCAACAAAAACCAATCAACATCAAGGTGTACAGAACAAGCAGTAAACCACATGTGGAGAAATTCGAACACCACTTCTACCTGACGTTTATGCTGATGATGTTGTCCAGTAGAACGATGAAAGCTCCACGACCAAACCATCCAGCTCAAAGAACAAAAACTCTATCAAAATATACATACATATATATGGTATAACATAGTTTCTATTTTACACAATTATACAAGCGAAATTTTATATAATAATACGTACCAAAAGTTTGACAGAGTACTGCAATCTATGAAAACTTTCAGTAAAATATGGATAGAACGTTAATCTTCGAGGATGCATGTCTCGTTTATCCATTTTATCAGAATGAATAGGTAATCCATGCTCCTAAATATCAAATAAATATGTTTAGTTATAAAGAATAACTAGTTTTACCATATTCGAAGGAGAAGTAGAACCACAGAATGATGAATTATTCACTATATTACATAATAGAAATAATAGAAATAATATGATATATGAATGAATAAACATTTTTTGTTTTATCAGCGTCGGGAAAGAGAAACAGATATACAAAAGGATGAATAACAACTGGAAGGAACTGGAAAGGATTGCCCAGGACAGGGTTGGATGAAGAATAATGGTAAGTGGCCTATGCTCCTTCACGAGGAGTAACAGGTGTAAGTAAGTAAGTTTGTTTTGTCAATTTTACTAACAGCCTATGTGTATATATAATCCGTTGGATGTACCTGCACCAATCAAATAATTTTACAATCTATCTATCTATGCCTATGCTCCATTGCGAGTAACAGGCGTAAATAAGTAAGTAAGTGAGTAATGATGACAATATGAAAGGCAGCTGAAATGATAGACTTGAAAACTAGTTGATTGGTGTAATACTACTATCAAATCAGAATATTTTTAATGACTTTTTGTTTTTATTTAAGAAACTTGTAATTGTCTACAAATGAAGGTGTACATTTGAGTCTATTTTAAAAGTTTGAATGAACGTCTTTAGTTTATTTCATTTTTTTTTAGTGGCTCGTGATGTGACTCCAATTAGATTGTACGATGTTATCGACGAGCTAATGATATTTGTAGGGCTCTATATATCTGAACTCCAGTTTAATCGTTTCTGATTGCTATTGAAATATACATATCGGCTATCCTCGTATATTATAATAGACTTAAATTGCGTTGGTGAATAACGGAATTAAATAATCAGAAAAGGGTTTATCTGGATAGGATAGTAATTTCATTAGTTGAGATCATGAGTCAGTTTGAAAACTTGGATGCACTGGTTGGTCGTTTCATACTACTATGGGACTCCTCATTAGTGCTCATCCACAATCCCGTTTTGCAAGATTCGAACACAGCACTTAACCACTAGACCACTGAGCCGGTCCTGACTTCCAATCTCACGAGGCGGGATCGTTTATGCACACTTTTAAAGAGTCCCACAATACGAGGAAACGGCCGCCCAGTGCTATATATATAAGGGTGTCATGCAATATTGGGTAATAATCAGTACTACATCATACTTAATAGTTGAACCTGTCATATCATAGTTAGTTAAAGATAAAGAATAATCACTTTCTTTAATTCTGAAAGTTCCAAAACATCTTAATTAGTCTACTATGAATTTCCTGTGAAACAAAATACTTTTTTCTAGCTGTCATACTATGGTCAACGAGAACACAAATGGAGACAATCGAATGTATTTCAACAAGAAGTTACAGAACATCTTAGAAAAAATATGAAAACTATATAGTAAATACTTCATGTGTAAAATATGAATCAATTTTCTCAAACTTAACTGTTCCTTTTGCAAATATCAGTCAATCGTCTCATTCTTCACTGTTCCTGCATTTCTATATCAATTGTTTTCTGTTCTCGTTCTGTCCTTCTTGTTCCTCTAAATCTTCTGCTGCCGGATATCATATTCCTACTACTTATGTAGATATAAGTAGCACACACCACAATAAATTTGCATTAAATGTCCGAGGATAAGATATTTTCTGTATCTTATGAACAACAGGATATTACAATTGATTTCAAGTAAAACCACAATTTTAGCTCATTCAGCTAGATTAAGTCTCTTGAGTCATATTTTTCAAGTTCACTAATCAGTTATAGTTAGCAACAGTTAAATTATCCAGACCTAAATACATACCGACAAGTGTAAATATAGTTCTGATTGGTTAAAGCATACAAGTAAGCTAGAATTTCGGAAACTCAGAAGCTGAGTGTTGAATCAAATCACTGAATAGTTAAAAGTTAGGTTTTTAATCGATCATCATAATCGTCATCATCATTTCTCGACTGAACTAAACAACATGTTGAATCGATATGATAACAGATGTAATGAAATTTTTATCTAATCATAGAGTACCAAGCTTATTTAGTATGTTATCTAAACTGTTTCACTGCATGGTAGATCTAATTAAAGTAGATATTGGAAATTCTTTCGCGAATGAGTTAAACGACAATAAGATTTCTTTTAGATCTTATTCTCTGTACATAACAACTGGCTATCAAACTCCATAATACGGCTGAGTGTGGAGAGAGTTCGCTTTTCCCTTCGAAATGCTCTCATATGGCCTAGAAAGCCGATTCCTATTTATTAGTCACGGAGTGAAAATCAACTCTAAGATGCAGGTACATACAGCTGACGAAACGCGCGTCTTAGATTCCACTATTAGCCGCTGTCCATCTTTGCTTAACTCCTTTAGTACTGTTTGTGAAATAATACAGTAGAGAGTAATAATATTAACCTGGTTTGAACTTCGAGTTACTATGATAAAACTGTATTTATTTGTTAATTAACTTTGTTTATACATATGAAGGGTGTATTTTAACCAATAATTTTCTTTAATGTCACTGGTAAACAAAAAACAATCATGATGTTTCAATGGAGTTTTTCCTCTGAACTCGATGGTTTAATTGTAGAGCATTCATCATTCTTCTGAATGACATCATCTTCAGCGAAAACTTCAACTTGAAGCTCCATAACCAAATAACTATCTAGTTCAAAGAACAAAACTCTATCAAAATCATTCAGCTGAACTATAAATCTTCTCCATCATCTTAACAGGTCATCTTTATTACAAAGAAATGACTACACTTTAATGTATTTCAATTTTTTTTGCATGGAAAAACAAATGAAAAAATGAAAAAAAAATAGTTTTATTGATTATAAATAAACATAATCACACCTAATTATTCAAATTTACAATTTACAAGTTCTACCCTGGTAACTAAAATGTACAATAATGACATTTGACATAAATGTAATTAGTTCAATCTTATACATAAACATGCATGATATAAATAGATCAATATATATATGAAGATATCCCATTAAGTAGAAAAGTTAGATTTTCTGATGTTTCGTGACTTAGTGTAAGCTACTTCTTCAGGGTATAAATAACCAGATTAAAATTAATCCAAGTTCTCTGAACAAGTAGCTCACACCAAGTCACGAAACATCAGAAAATCAAACTTTTCTACTCAGTGAAATATCTACAAATATATATTCCACAGATTGAAATCATGAGTCAGTTGAAGCTAGACCACCATGGAAAACCTGGGAGCACTGGACGGGGGTTTCGTCCTAGTACGGGACCCCTCAGCAAAGCGCATTCACAATCCCGCACCCCGCGGGACTCGAACCCAGAACCCACTGGCTTCGTGCGCGAGCACTTAACCATCAGACCACTGAGCCAGCATCCAACGGTGTTAATGTCTAACTTCAACCAATCCACGAGGTTGCGCCACCGTATACCATTGTCTTCAGTGAACTGATATCACACAACAGACGTGGTTATACTCCACTGGTAACGGCTTCCCAGTATCTCTTGAAGTCAGTCATTTGTGTAGTTTAAAAATCCCCATAGAATATCCAAAAATGAAGAATATTTGAGCGAACAATTGTTTCTGCAATAACTTCATCATCAGGCTCTACAGTTATAAGTCCATAAATATTTGCGATCTTTTACAAAGGCCAAAAATAAGGCATGTATTAATGAATTTGACAATGTTATATGTTATAAATGGTGCACGTTTGCATCTGTTACTACATATATCTATACTTCAAAATTGTTTTATTTGTAAGTGAGAAAGGTCATTCAATAAAGATCAAGATGATTTGGAGTAAAGTGTTCAGTCCCGATCAGTAGAATAGTATTATAGCAACAATGAAAATGCAAAACAAATCGTGTGAATAAAATGCATAGTAGGTGAATTTAATCTTGTCAATTGAGATAATAATAATAATAAGATTGTTGTGTGAATATAATATGTAATAAGGAGGGGGGATGTTGTCAAGGTAATTACGATAAACGAATTGGGAATGATGGATGTGAAGACTAAGATAGGGATAATCAAAAATAATGATAATAAGGGAAATAAAAATAAAGGAAGGGGGTAAGAGGTTTATAATATTCAGTCTAGGTATTCGATGGACCAGTCGTAGGCCAAGGTAAACAAAGAGGCTGAATATATTTTTTCTGGATACATAAATTTGGTTTTCTGGAGTTGATCCATATGGCTTCGGCCATGTAAAGCAGTCGTAATCTAGCTCCTTAAGGTAGATATTTTGGAACTTGATATAAAACAGAGAAAGCTTCCGCTATTTTGACATGATATTCACTATATACCAAGTGAGAAAGAATGGTGCTGTTAATCGATTCGGTAACCATTTCGAAGTACATACATATCGTAACAGATGCAAACGTGCACCATTTATAACATATAACATTGTCAAATTCATTAATACATGCCTTATTTTTGGCCTTTGTAAAAATATCACAATAATGATGGACTTATAACTGTAGAGCCTGATGATGAAGTTATTGCAGAAACAATTGTTCGCTCATATATTCATTTACTTATCACAATCTACCCAATAATCAATTTATTCGAAATTATCAAATCAAAACTTAGTAATGATACCTATTAAACATGCATGGATATTATTCAAAAATGTTTTGATTTTCTTAATAATACTTTCTTCTTAGCTCTCTTCTCAGATCTTTTTGTTCAAGATAACTATCCTACCTTCAGATTTTTCTTTCTTCATTTTTTTTATTGAGATCATGAACCGATGAATGTTAGAACACCATTAAAAACATGGAAGTACTGGATGGCCATTTCGTCCGGTTGTAGAACTCTAGAAAAGTGCGCATCTACGATCCTACTCGCGGAATTTGAACCCAACGGCCATCAGTCTCGCGCACGAACGCTTAACCTGTAGACCACTGAGTTAACTGGCACCCATTGGTGTTAATGTTTAACTTCAACCAATCCATGAATTATTTTTTTTTAATTTTATTTCCCGGTTGTATTTCAACGTATTTCTCAAGAAATCTTAGTTGCCTTTATTTACA